TGTAAAAAGATTATGGTTACTGTTACTACAGAGGAGAACTTTAATGACACTTGCCTTGCTCGGTCAGGGTGTAACTGGTGAGACATTTAGTCTGTTGCAGATTGTTCTACATCACTATATGAAGTACTTTCCTTTCCATTTTTCTGGGTTGTTTTTGAAAGAGAAAAAGGCGTATTTCTGCAAATTCTCATTTTATTTTAGAAAGATGTGAATGACTTTTTTTGTATTTATAATTATAATTTGTATTGTTTATGTTGTGTAACCTGATTTGCTAATTCTGTCTATTGTACTAGATTTTGTTCGTCACTAAACAGCCACAGCACAAATCACGCGGGCGTAATTATGTGCTGCCGCCATGATTCATCTACCATCACTGTTGTGTATAATGTCATGATTTCTGATGTGTATATTAACTACTATTTTAATGAATTTTGGAGAGACGCTAATGAAAATCTGCAAACGTGAATCTGCAAAAAGAAGGGATGTTAAAATTGAGTTTGTACGCATTTTTATTATGGCCTAACCAATGTCATGTTTTTGCCACCACTCTCACCAAAGTGCTTGTTCAAAGAAAGCAGATGGATGACTAACACCTGGTCTGCAATGGACTGCCACTCTATGTTTGTGTCTGAAAGAAGAAATCCTTTGAAACTGATGTCAATGTTAGCCAAATGACCACTCTGCTTCTTTTACATTTCCCATTGTGTGTCTGGAGTAAGGTGATGATCTTGAATTTTATATCCTGTGGATTAATACTGGAAGTACAAGATAACCTTAGGTGTAGAAACAGTAGCTTTTCACATTTTATCATGTTTTGATTGAAGACATTTTACATACATTTTAGTCAGTTTGTGTGGTGCAGTTGTACCCAGTTTAAAATAAATGCCTGCCTTAAAAGGTACTGTGTGCTTTTATGTGGCTTTTGTTACACCCATCCATGCAATGCACAAGCGTGACAGAATAAATCAATACAAGTGTACTTCAAAATATTTGTATTTGTTTTTTAAAGAGTCTCAGCATAGAAAAACAGCAATTGAAAACTAATGACTATTTAAAAAATAACATGTAAATACATACATATTCCCTGTGTTGATGACTGCAGTGTGTGCTGAGCTAGCGCGTTTAAATGCTTGAATTTAATTAATGAATATGGACATGCTGCCGGCTTAGTGTCCTGGAAGTCAAACAGGTCATATTTAAGCTTGCAGAGACAGAAAAGAGAGTTCAGACTGCCCTCAACCTTTGAACATTTACTCATTGTATTCAATTTCTACCTCCAATTTCCATCTTAAGACGTTAACCTGACATAAACCATGGCCTTGTTTGGTTGTTTCTTAGCCTCAGACCACAGTGTAAATAGAAAAGCACCAGTTTAATTGTAGGAAAGGGCTGATATGCATAAATGTAAAATTAAACTGCCAAAATCGCTCACTTTGATGGGAATGCGGTATACAGTCAGTGTCATCTCCTATACAAATACACCCTCACAGTGTAATCCCGTTAACAAGCATGCCAACTGTATATGCATACGATGTGCATTAGTCACTGATATTGTCATTTATGCATATCAACCCAGAACTATTATAGTCCATTATATTCTTGGATTCCAAGCAAGCCCCAGAAGAAGTCATTTCCATCTAGCAGATTAAGCTTTCTGCAAGTTCAGGCGATTTAGAGGAAGGAAGCTGATTGGAAATCGATTAATGAAACATGGTTACAGTATTGTAATTCCATCAATGGGGTCATGACAGAATAACTTTAGGAAATGCTTTGATTCTTGAGCTCGGTGCGCCTCATCTGTGTGTCTATAAGAGTTCACTTGTCGGAGGCACGGATGTAGACCAGAGAGGACAGCAGAAGGAGCTCCGGTGGCTTGTGTAACAGGATCAGATTGTCACTCCTCAGACCATCGTAGTGCATCCAGCAGCCGTCTATTTGGAAGGCTGCAGAGTAGTGATGCTCTTCCTTGTTGAAGAGTGTGGCGCCCTCCAGTGAGTACCTGTGGAGAAATACCATTGTCTTTATACTGTCCAGGAAACTTAAAGTATAAATAATAGTGGATAAAAACACATTTTTCCATTAGATCTGGGACAAAGAGAGGCAGAAGTAAATTAAATCAGAAAGTGAGGGTGAATGAAACATTTAATATTTGTAAACTGCGAAAATAAAATAGAATAATGTAGTTCAATGACAGCTATTTTGCAAATATTCAGTGCTAGATGTCCAAGGTTGGAACAAGTATATTTAGTTTAATTCTACTAAAGCATGGTGCTGTATACAGAGCCAATGGAAACACACTGTGGAGGCTCCATACCTGTGCTGGCAGAGAGCCAGATGGTAAGGAACATAGGACAGTTCCTCTGACTTCCACTGCTGCATGTTGAGAATGACAAAGGGTGGGGGGCCATGGCAGAAGACCCTCTGAGAGAACTCCCTCAGACCATCACACCTGTAATAATAATAATAATAATAAAAAATATATATATATACAATTTGTCAAAGAAGCAGATAAAGACTGAAGAACATTCGATGATGACATCCTGCCTATGTCTCACCCCAGTTGTGAGCAGAGTAGGAGCTTGGGGCAGAAGAACTCGTCCACGGCCGACTGAATGGGGTCTCTGTGAGGCAGCTCATGAGGAGGACTGGAGGGAAAATGTGAGAGTGGAATTATAAGAAATGGAAATCGCGTACACCACCCAACAACACTCCGTTAACTAGAACTGACCTACTTTGTGAGAGGAAAACATCTCATAAAGACAATTAAGCTTGTACACTGTACACTGACTGAACATGTGGATTAACATCACTACACATAAATGGGTGGAGACAGAAATGCATGCATTGTTAAGGGTTATATATAAATGAGATTTAAAACTTTAATATAATAAAAAATGTAATATATTCCCTATGTAAAGAAATCATGGAGTAAAGAGTCCTGAGCAGAGAATGACCCTCTGTGTGTTGTAACCGAACTCTCTGTGCTTTGTTTTGGTATCTGTGATTCTCAAATCTACGTCTGTGAATTAAGGATTCATTTTGACCGGACTGGTGGTTGTTGGAACAGTGGAAAGACTAACAAAGACAATTTTGGTGAGTTGTATTTTGCATCTGTCACTTTTGAATGAAATGTGAGTTAAAGTTACTGTTTTTATGCCACAACATGAGACAGTCTGCAACTGAGTGGGCTATTAACAGCTGGCTAACTCAACATGTTCTTAGTTTGAAGATGCAGCATCTTGTAACGTGTGTAAAGCCGACATTAAGAGGGCTGTGCTGCATCGTACAGTACTACTCATTTTTAACCATCTGCGAAAACATGGATCGGTGCATCTCTGATCTAGTGGCAGTGCAACATGTAGTCTAGTCTGATCTAGTGCAAAGTGTCTGACAAGGGCTCCCCTACTGGGACAACGTCGATGAGGAAATTTGATATTTCTAACACAGACAGCTGTTGGTGCAACCCTGTCACAAGTCCTGAAGCACAGACTCTCTGCTAAAGTTCACGGCGTCCAACAGGGAAAAGTTGCATCAAGTTCACATTGTAGCATCAGGATAGTTCACGGCCTGCGTGCAGTATACCTGATGTTGATTGTAGTCTTTATGAACTCCTGGAAGCGGGCCGGGCAACTCCAGTTGGTGCACAGGCTCTCCTGCATTGTGGACATGAGGTTCTCCAGGTTCTCTGTGAAGTTCTCGTGCTCGTTGCCAAACAGGTCAATCTCCAGGGCTGCCTGGTGGATCTCAGAGCGGTACTGCCTCTTAGACATCCTGTTCCAGATCCACAGCATCTTCACTGTGGTGTAGTCGCAGGAGTCCATCAGGTAGAGGAAATGCTCCACAAACTGTTTGCCCAGGAAGAATGCCAGCTCCCTGGGAACCCCCTGCTTGTCCCGCAGGATCACATACAGGATCATGAGGAAGCCATCGATGGTGCAGGTGTTTTTAAGTTTGATTTTGACGTACAGAGGGGTGCACGATATGGCCTTGCGTCCTGCCTTAATGGTGAAGACGCCGCCCCAAGGGAGCACAGGCCTCCAGAAGGAGCGGTCCTCTTCATCATTGTTGTTGATGGAGGCACGGATTTCTTCGAACAGTGTCTTCGACCTGGAGAGACATAAGTTACATACGCTTATGAGACGGAGGTGGCTTGAGTGTGGGTGAGGTTCAGTCTGCTGCACTGGTGAATTCTGAAGGTATAGTTTACAGAGACTGTCGCTTTAACACTGACGTTTACTCAGGCTATGCAAATAGATGCTAACTAGCCATCTACTCACAATAACAAAACAAGCCAATGACGAACAACGTCCACGTATCCTCCAGTTAATAGACAGAGCCTCAAAGCCCGCTGGCTGAACAAATTAGCAGCCACTATGAACTTACCTGTCGAAGTGGAGATTGTTCTGAGTGTTTGAAATCAGCGTTTGGAGCTCCTCGGTGTCGCTCAAAACACAGAATCTAGTCTCCATAGTTCTCTGTGTTTCTTCATGTCTTTCATCGGACTGGAAGCCTGATTGTTTTTTGTTTTTAAATGGTATTTTCTAGCACTCTCTGGTGAATATCTGTAAGAGGACACTTTTGCAAGCAGCGGAACAATCTCGATCAATCGTCAGCTTGGGCCCATAGAAACACTGCTGTGTTATTTCACACTGCTAATCTGACGGTTGTGTAAACACGCTGCTGCCCTCTGCTGATTCTTGGCGTAATTGCGTCACGTAAAGTCCCGCCCACTGCCCCGCCCACTCGTGGGTGGCATAGCAGATCTGGGAATGCTATTGGTTTATTACGTTCTACCGACGCGTTCGAACAGGTGTGTGATTGGCTGTCAGTGTAGACGTTCTGTTAATAGCCCCGCCTTTCTCCGTCGTCATGCCCACTCGCGAGGCTACGTTCTACGTTCGACGCTATAACACGCTATTCCTGAAAGTTATTGCGTTGTTTTTTCAGCGCTGGTGCTGCGTTGTCAATGAAGCCTACGTAACTACCTTCGAACTACTTTTCTTTTTCACTTAACTTAAGTTTTTGGTGAAACTCAGCGCGCTCCTCTTCTTGTCAGGCAGTGAGTGTGCAAGGAGACACGTTAGGTCAGAACGCGGACTTACAGGACCAAAGATGTCAGCTCAAATCATAAGTGGGAAAGCAGTTTCAGCGTAAGTTTCAGATTTTATGCAGCACGTTTATTATTTGCACGGGTAGGCAAACAGGTGTAACCAGCATGAGGAAACGTGTCTTTGTACTGGCTAATTTGGCAGCTAACTAGCCATCTGAGTGTCAGCCTCTTTATAGTTAAAGTTAACGTCACAGACAACTTCTCTGTACGATCCCAGCCTTATGCACATTCTGCATGCAGCTCTTATGTATTTCCAGACACTATTCTTGTCTGTGCTGGCAGCAGAAAACAATTTCATAACTTTGAATTGGTTGTGCATGATGTTGTCCACGTGAATGAAGTGTGCCAGCAGTTTGTACTGTTAATTATGGTTAACCAGTGGAGAAATCACAGTGGACTGAACTTTGTGAAGTTGCATGAACATTTTTTTCCTTGACAGTTATGTGGATTAGTCTTTGTGTGTTCACAAATACACACACATGCACTGTTTATAATTTGGTGATAATCCATAATTATTGTAAACCTTGGAATGAATGATTGCAAATTCTGCTGCATTATGTAAGAAGCTGTAGTGGTGTGATATGATCTTTGTCCTGTTGGTCCAGTGACCTCAAGTGGTGAGGCTGGAAAACCCCACTCATGAATCTAAACGTAGTCACCAAACTCTAAAAATCTTTTCTTTTTTAAAATTGTGCATTTGTCAGTATTTTAATATTTGAGTACAATCTACAAAGGTGTTCCTTGTGTTTTTCATAGTTCAAAGTTTGAATGAATCCAAATATTTGCTTATTACCAAAAAGTTGGGCAAAGAGACAACAGAGTGCAGGACATTACGTTGCATGTGCTTGTCACAAGACACGACAGCCTGCACCTTGTTAACTGCCCCTCAGATCACTCATTAGTTCAATTAATTTTTGCGACACAAACGGGCCATACAGCCTCTCCACAGATCTGGAAGATGTACATTCATTATCTCTGAAGCCTGACGGTAGGTGTCATGCAATCCATTGTTTGGAACAGGAGACCTTTTTGAACAGACGTTTATTAATGAGATTGTCTCTGCCTTTCAGGAAGTGTAGTTTTCTGCAACCCTTATCCAAAAGCGTGTTCTTTGAAGAAGCCTGATTGACTTGACAACAATTAAAACATTACAACAGTACTGTTTTATTATATGAATGTGCTTTGTTTATAGGAATATGGCCCTAGTTGATCAGTGACCAGGAACTAAGATATCCTAACATGCTGTGTTATCAGCTCTCATTGTGATGAAGATTGTTGTTATAATGATTCTGGGAATATATATAATAAATAAATGTGTCATATGTTAAATAATGTAATAAGACCTTTAATAGTAGGTCTGTGTTATTGTTAGGTCATTAGGGCAAACGCACTCATAGGTTACTTGAAAGGTAGTTCCAATTGGTGTCACTCCACTGTGTCACACATCCATAATCAATACTAGTCACATGGTGTATGGTGTAACCCTAACCCTAACACAATGATCAGTCTATATTTAGAGATTTGTGAGTAGCACTGCTCTTTTTATCATCCACAGTGGACGATATCAATCAAGCTGGTGAGTCATGTAATTGATTATGTGAATAGAATACAAAGGAAATGTAATCAGCTTTGTTTAGAGAGACATGATACATCTTAAAAAATAGATTGCTATGAGTTAAAGTCCATTAACTCTGTCACTCACTCTCTCTCTCTTGACTTTGATTCGTTGAGTTGGCTTTGCCTAATCTTTGTGTTAGGGGAACAGATAAGCCATAACTGACATAACCAAACTATCGAACGAATAAAGATAAAGCCCAACAGATAAGAATCTCATTTTACCAAACGGAGTCTTCGATGACTGGGCTTTGTATGTGCAGTCGACACCGATGGCTGCGGGTTGGAAAATGTAAATGGAAAATGTAACCATTACAAGGGAAGGGAATGGGTTGTGTGCCATATGGTCCTTTTCCTTTCCTTTACAATGGTGCACCTGTCACTGCATAGAGATTAAAAATCCAGTTGGGTTTTATTCTGTTGTCTTGTGCTCTCAGGCAGGTGAGGGAGCGTCTGAAGAAGGATGTGGAACAGATGAAACTTCAGGACCCCAACTTCAGACCCGGTCTAGTGGTTTTACAGGTAACTGCAAGATAGGAACTAGCACAAGTTGAAGTATAAGCACATTTTTGGATTGTCTTGTTTGCTGTTTAATTTTGCCATGTCTTTTTCTCGTGGCCTACGAGCAGGATTCATTCATACATGATCAATACGTGTGTCGGTATGGTAGAAGGTCTATTCCTTCATACAGGCAGGCAAAGTGATGCTGCTTGTCTTTGCAGGTTGGAGACCGCGATGATTCAAACCTGTACATCAGCATGAAGTTGAAGGCAGCAGCAGAGGTAAACATTTCATTTATTGACATACAATATGTACATCACATTTCTACTGTACACTTTTTACAATTATTCCTAACTTCCAGCCCAATCTCTTCTTCTGTGTACACAGATTGGAATAAATGCCACACATATGAAACTTCCCAAGACTGCAACAGAGGAGGAGGTGAGAATGGATTTGAATTATTTGTGTAGTTTACTTTACTTTTTTTTACGCACACAGTAAGAAATCCTGCAAATCCTGAAGTATCACTGTTTATGTTTTTAAATATTTTCAATGCAGTAAGACGGGACTAAAGTTTGCAATTTGGGGTGCCATAACAAAACAAGGTTAACACGGTTAATAACAAACTGAAGGTACCTGAGAGTGTAAAGGATGTTTGCTTGTCTGTAGATTCTTCACAGTATCACAGAGGTGAACGAGAACTCATCTGTCCACGGTCTCATCGTGCAACTGCCCTTAGACTCGATCCACAAGATAGACACTGAGAAGGTCACCAACGCTGTGGCCCCAGAGAAGGATGTAGATGGGTAGGCACAGACATAAACTAAAGATCAGGTTGCTTATTACTCTTTTGAATGGACCTGAAGTGTTTCTTTTTGCTTCCTTCGAGTCTGGTTAAAAGAAAAAAAAATCTTACTTACCGTTTACAGACTGACCAGCATAAATGCAGGGAAGCTGTCTCGTGGGGACTTGGGCGACTGCTTCATCCCCTGTACACCAAATGGCTGCATGGAGTTGATCAGACAGACTGGTAAATGCAGTTAACACCCTAATATATCAGTATCAGTCCTGTGAATATATATGACAAAGTACTGAATGAGGTCAGAATTAATTAATGGATTGACTGCTTTTCTACAGGTGTGTCTGTGGCAGGGAAGAGAGCGGTAGTGATTGGTCGCAGTAAGATTGTCGGAGCACCGATGCACGACCTGCTGCTGTGGAACCACGCCACCGTCACTACCTGCCACTCTAAAACCACTGATCTCCCTGGAGAGGTACAACAGTAACACCTTCACCCAACCCAGCAATACAGTCTCAGGATTATATTCCCATTATTGATTATTGTCCTGTATGGGTTGATTTTAAGCGTAGCCAGGCAGTGACACAAACCACATTCTGCATTTCTCTACAGTGGTGAAATGATACCCTGCACAATCCAAGTCTGACTTCACGTTGGTTTAATGAATTTGTGGATTTATTTTACATATTTATATATTTTATTTATTTATTTTTTTGAACATTCTGTATTTAAAATTATGCATATAAAACCAAAGCAAAACAATACATTTAGGACAAAATATAGAAAATAAAGACAAAGAACAATTAGTGTCTCGGCAAACATACAAACCCTAGTCAAGATCTACTACACAATTGGACATCCCACAAAACAAAACCCCGAATAGGGGGGAGAAAGTACATTCGACAGGCGACCCCCACAAAACGAGAAAAACACAGACATAACTTCTCACAACAAGCTATTACCAGTTCATCTGTCTGGCAATCCAAAGTGGGAGATGGCGGGGGCCCACAAAACCAAAGTCCATTTTCACATGAAGTTTTGCAGTTATCTTCTCCATTACATAAACTTTCTTTAGTCCCTCTCGCCATTGTTGAAGGGTGGGAGGTATATTTATATATTTTATATATTAATATATTTTTGAAAATTTCTATTAACCCTCATAAAATAAATGTCCACTAAGCCTAGCATCATTGATATACATGCTTTTCTTTTATTTATGAAAAATTATGTCCATCACTGTTTTTGTCCAGGTGGGCAAAGCAGATATCCTGGTTGTCGGCATTGGGAAAGCAGAGATGGTGAAAGGAGAGTGGATCAAGAAGGGAGCGGTGGTCATCGACTGTGGCATCAACCACGTGCCAGGTTGGACTCCTCCTGCATTCCTGTGGTTTTTCAGTCCACTTTGGGAATGAATCAGTTGAAGTTAAAGGTAACTGAATGGTATTTCTCTGTGCGTGTTTCAGATGAGACTAAACCAAGTGGGAAGCGGGTAGTGGGTGATGTCCACTACGCCTCAGCCAAGGAGCAGGCCGGTTTCATCACCCCTGTGCCAGGCGGTGTGGGACCCATGACTGTGGCCATGCTGATGGCGGTAAGGTCCATCTGGAGAGAGGATTGTTGTAAATGTAATATCAGACCAGCTGCATCATTAATACATAATTAAATCTGCCATTTCAGTTATCTTGTCCCAATTTGCCACAATGCTGCAGAGGTTTTTCTTTTTGTTTTCCAACTGTATACACTGTGTGTTTGTGCAGAACACAGTGTTAAGTGCAAAGCGTTTCCTGGAGAGCCATCAACCCGGGAAGTGGAACATTTCTTACACCAAACTCAACCTCCAGACGCCCGTGCCAAGGTTTGTCTTATCTCCCCCACCCTCTTAGTCATGTGCTTTGTTAAATTCAATAATCCACATGCAAGATTAACTGTTTTAATACCTTTGCCTCACGTTGGGTCTCACTCAGAATGCTCCTTGTCTTTGAGGCCTTGCTGTTTTCCTCCTTTTCTCAGATGAAAAAGTGATTTTGTGTGTTGTGTTTATATTTCCCAACAGTGACATCGTGATTTCTCGCTCCTGTGTGCCCAAGCCCATCGACCGTCTAGCAAGAGAGGTGGGCCTGCTCTCTGATGAGGTAGAGCTCTATGGCAAGACTAAGGCCAAGGTCCAGCTGAATATCATCAAACGCCTGCAGGCCCAGCCAGACGGCAAATACGTGGTGGTCACTGGGTATGCTGTCAGCAGTGTTATCTGCTGTACTGTACTGTTTTCCCTGCTCTGCAGCATTGCATTGGACATGATGAAATGCTGACAGTTTAAGTATAAGTTCCGAATCTTAGTTTGTAATGTTACTTTTTTTCATATTGTCCAGCAAGTTTATACAGCTGATCAAGTTCCTGCTTCATCATGCCATGCAGCAGAATTAAACATTTTAATGTGCACCCCTTACCACATATTCTGCTGAAGTTAATACCTTTAATTTATCTGCCAAAGACAACATTTATTTTCATTTGGTACTTCTACTACCTGTTGATTTCTGGCCCTGCTGACAAGTCTTTGTGTCTCCAGCATTACACCCACTCCTCTGGGTGAAGGAAAGAGCACCACCACCATTGGCCTGGTGCAGGCCCTGGGAGCCCACATGAAGCTCAACGTGTTTGCTTGTGTCCGACAGCCTTCTCAGGGACCCACCTTTGGCATTAAAGGTAATCTTTGAAATAATGTACATTTAGTGAGAGATGGCACATGTTATGAGCCATTTAAATGTACATGTTTACAGTCTATACTTGTATATCAATCTGTAGTATTGTCTTCTGTCTACAGGTGGTGCTGCAGGAGGTGGATACTCTCAAGTCATTCCTATGGAAGAGGTACTACACTGCTATGTTAAGTTAGAAACTATGCTGCTTGCCTAAAAAATGCTAAAATATAATTGAATTAATGATCACTTCATTTTAGTTCAACCTCCATCTCACCGGTGACATTCACGCCATCACGGCTGCGAACAACTTGGTGGCTGCTGCCATCGATGCTCGCATGTTCCATGAGTCTACACAGTCTGACAAGGTGTGTACTCCATTTTGTCAGTGGTATATTTTAAAAAATACACTTTTTTTGCAAGTTAATTCATGGATTTTGACTAATATCTTTATCTCTGTATGCATCCTCAGGCTCTGTACAACCGCTTAGTCCCACTCAGTGGCGGACAGAGGAAGTTCTCCCCCATCCAGATCAACAGACTGAAAGTAAGTGATTGTGTCACAGACTTGTAGGTTTTAACTTAATTCACAGCCCAAAGAATGGCAGACATCGTATATTTTCTCTGCTTGTTTAGAAACTGGGAATAGAAAAGACTGATCCCTCCACACTGACTGAGGATGAGATCACCCGCTTTGCCCGTCTTGACATCGACCCGAGCACTATCACCTGGCAGAGAGGTATGACCACCAGAGACTTCTCTTAATCCTGTGTTACACGGTCTGCCTCATTAAATCTGCTGTATGTATTGTATAAAAGTGATAAGGTCAAATGTAAAACTAATAAAATACCCATGTGGTCCTTGTGTGTCAATTCAGTGTTGGATACCAATGATCGATTCCTGAGGAAGATCACGATAGGCCAGTCGCCAACTGAAAAGGGATACACGAGAGAGGTAACGAGATAAGATCCACAAAGCTGTAATACTTAAAAAATTCTTTGGCTCCACCCGGTGGTTATATCAAAAAAGACAGCGTGGTAGGCAGCATGAAGAATCTGCATGTAGTAGCTTCAAGCATTCGATCACAAAGTAGAATTTAGTTAGAGAAGTTTCTAGAGTTTTACAACAAATGGAGCCCAGTATGCTGCATTGTTGTTGTTAATGATAAAGGGACATGCACTGCCTCTCTCCGTTCTCCAGGCCCAATTCGACATTACGGTGGCCAGTGAAATTATGGCGGTGCTCGCCCTCACCAGCAGCCTAGAGGACATGCGTCAGCGTCTGGCCAAGATGGTTGTTGCCACCAGCCGTAGCGGACAGCCCATCACCACTGAGGACCTGGTCAGTGTTCTGGAGTCTCCCTTACGACAGGGAAGTTTATATACAAGTGCTTTGGAAACAATTGGCTCCTATAATATAATGTTTTTCTCTTTAGGGTGTGAGTGGTGCTCTGACTGTGCTAATGAAAGATGCCATCAAGCCAAACCTAATGCAGACCTTGGAGGTGGGTGAAAATACTGATACTGAGAATAACTTCACAAACCAAATACATAGTGTTTAAGATATTAAAGCAGATTAGGAACATATGTATTTACAGTATTAGACTAACAAGCTTGTACAGTTCAGGTTGTTCGTTGTTGTTGGTGGTTTTGAAGTGGCTCAGTTTATTTTTTTAATGATCGAAACCTGAATCTGCAGGGAAACCCCGTGTTTGTACATGCCGGCCCATTTGCCAACATCGCCCATGGCAACTCCTCCATCCTGGCTGATAAAATAGCTTTGAAGCTTGTTGGACCTGAGGGCTTTGTAGGTAAGTGCAGCTGAGAAAATTGCTTTATGGCAGCATGTTTTATTCAGTATTTACTTTCTGATATCTGATGTGATACAGCAGTTTTTCTGTTATATTGTAGTATGATATTACTCAGTATTGCTCACAGCTGTCGTTCTGTTACTATTCTGTTTGTTTCACAACGCCTGTCTATTGTGCCCTACAGTGACAGAGGCGGGCTTTGGTGCTGACATTGGCATGGAGAAGTTCTTCAACATCAAGTGCCGCTACTCTGGCCTGAGACCCCATGTGGTTGTGCTGGTGGCCACTGTCCGAGCGCTGAAAATGCACGGAGGAGGACCAACAGTGAGTTCTACTCACCGTCCTAATAACGCGATAACACCTGTGCTTTTACATTCATGTATTATTTTACACGATTTTTGCGTTCGTCTTTTGTGAGTTCTGTGTCTCACCCTCCCTCAGGGAATGACACTGCTATGAGTGTAATTTCCTGCTGAGTGGATGTCACAGAGCAATAACTCATTCATATTTTCATTTCTTAATTCACTCAATTATTAGCTTCTTAATAGTCCCAAAGCCAACAGCTGAGGCAAAATAATTCAAATCTGTCTCTGTTGTGTATTTAAATGATTTAAATTCACAAAAAAAATATTTTTTTCTTCAGGTCACTGCTGGGATGCCACTGCCTAAGGAATACATTGAGGAGGTAATGCAAAACAGCAACCTACCAAAACATGGACTTTATTTTAAATTCAAATTAAAAAACCTTTGTCTGTCTATCATTAAACATGTATGTGAACAGAGAACTGCTGTTCTTATCTACCTTCTTATGAGCTTATCTTAAAGTATGTGAATGTGTTCCCACATGTAGAACCTTGAGCTGCTGGAGAACGGCTGCAGCAACATGAGGAAGCAGATAGAGAATGCACAGCACTTCGGCGTGCCAGTGGTGGTGGCTGTCAATGCTTTCAAGTGAGTGATTGATGATGACATAGTAGAAAACGGACTAAAATGGTCTAAAAGACAACAAACTTACAGAGCCATCTTTTTGGTTACCTGTTCCGGCTCTCATCAGCATTGTTTGCAGCAGCAACAGGAAGCTGTTTTCAGTTAAAAAGCTCTAATAAATCCACTGCACATAACCCACCAGCACCAAATAGCGACTAACTGGTGAACATAGTGTATTATTTAGCAGCTAATGAGCCAAGGAGTTGGTGGTTGGTGGAGTGAGAACAGTGCTAAAAGGATAGCTAATATTGAACTTTTAGCGGGTGAACAGAAATGTGATGCTAATGTTGCTCTGTGTCTGCTGGATATGTAAATATGCAGCTGTTTGCTAACATTTTAGCCTTGCTGATAAAATGTGTGTTTGGAGCTTGTCAAACACTAGAATGCAGATTTAAAGCAGTATTGTGAGCCTGTGAATCTTCTTTCTTCACAAATAATGATGTTTGCGGTTTGAATGACTGAGTAGAGGCAAGGAAAACATCCTTGCCGCATTAAGTTAATGTCTTTTGTTATCCTGATCCATCCAACAGGACCGACACTGAGGCTGAGCTGGACTTGATCTGCAGCATAGCCAAAGCTGCTGGAGCCTTCGACGCCGTGCGCTGCTCCCACTGGGCCGAAGGTGGAGCCGGCGCAGTGGCCCTGGGTCATGCTGTCCAGAGGGCTTCTGGGGCTCCCAGCAACTTCAAATTCCTCTATGATTTGGAGGTATGGGCCGTCCCACTTTCTGTTTTTCTTTACTAGGTTGGTTGCAGTTAAGTATGTGAGTGATATTGATAAATAAATATTTGTTTTGTGTGGAAAGCGGAATAAAAATATAGTCACACTGAAGATAAAAATAATGTTCTCATCCACTAAGAAAGACCCTCATGTGCATGGATCCCCTCTCTGTGCCAAATTAAAATAGGGCCACTGACTGACTGACTGACTGATGCAGTGTCTATGTTTCTAATTCCTCTGTAGCTCCCTATTGCTGATAAGATTCGAATAATTGCCCAGAAGATCTACGGAGCGGACGATATTGAGCTTCTCCCAGAGGCTCAACACAAGGTGGAGCTCTACACCAAACAGGTCAGCGTCTCTCCTAGTTCATTTGTTTCTTTCATCTGTGTTTTCGGGGCCATTTGTTGGCTGCTCCTGTCAGTGTTAATTATCATAATTGTGTGCTTGAATAGGCCTTTGTAAACGATGTAAAACATTTCCTTTGTCCCCTCTTTTTCCCTCAGGGTTTCAACAACCTGCCAATCTGCATGGCGAAGACTCACCTGTCGCTCTCTCACGAGGCAGACAAGAAGGGTGTGCCCACAGGTTTTGTCCTGCCAATCAGAGACATCCGAGCCAGTGTTGGCTCTGGCTTTTTGTTCCCACTGGTTGGCACGGTGGGGGTTTATTTACGTTGAGCAACAACACATTTTCTTTCCAAAGTTTTTGCAGCAGATTTGTGTCTGTCAGGCAGTCAGGGTGTGCCTCCACACTGCCCTGCACCTGCTTACCATCAAACCACATCACAATGAGCACACCTTTATCTGGCTTTCTTATAGAGTGGTATCCTACTGATAAAAACAAAGCATAAAGATTCTTATTATAGGGGCTTTATTATATATAAAAAACAGCAAATGTATTCCACATATTTTTCCTAGACCCCAAGAAGACTTCAGGCTTCAGGTTTTGTTCGAACAACAGTCCAAAAGACGAATAATTTAATTTAGAAGTGACTTTATATAACAAAGTAAAGCAAATTCTCTCATTTGAAATGGCAAAAGCAGCAAATATTTTACTTTTATATGTGATAAGTGACTTGAAGATGATTAATCAGATATAAAAATTGTTGTTGATTAATTATCTTGACGTCAATGGATAAATAAATAAAGCAGAATTCTACCAGTGCTGCACAAGAGATGGTATATTACACACTTTACATTCACTAATAATGAAATGAGCCTGTGTTGTTTCATCATGTGTCCATGAAGAAGTTGTTTGTTACACTTGGTTCAAAGGCTGCATTATATGTGTGTACAGTATAGCAGTGCATGAAAGGCCAGAATCCCCCTTATTAATGTCTGTCATACAAACTGCTTTCCCTGGCTGTTCCTCTTAGATGCCCACGATCCCCGGTCTTCCCACCAGGCCTTGTTTCTATGACATAGACCTGGACCCTGAGACAGAACAGGTCAACGGGCTCTTCTAAAGCAGGGCGCTGCACTCTGTGATGGTAAGGACGGTAGTTAAGACATACAGATATCCGTTTCACACTGGAGTTGGCAGGCATGGATGATAAGCATTAATATCTTGCCATTAATGTTTCATTAATGTAATGTTTGTTTTTCCCCACTGTACAGATATGGCCCATCCCCCACTGAGCCTTAATGACGTGATGGAGAAATAACTGGAAGCGCCCTGAGCTTGTCTGCTGGTGCTGTTTTTGTTTATTATTTTCCACTCAGACACTGACATCTGTAAATAATTGATTTGCTTTGCCCAAGAAGGTGACTGATGGGTAAATCAAGAAACTTAATTATTCACAGAACAGTTTGACCATCTGAGAACGCCCGTCTGTGATGGACCTTTTGTAAGAGGGAAATGTCCGATTGACAATTCTTTCAGTTACATTTCTCGCTAAGACCTGCTTGTATTTTTCAATGAAAATAATAATCTGGAGTCTTGTATTAACTTTGTGTGCACTACATTTGGCCTCTGTCTTTAACAATCCACTGAATTTTGTGTTCCTTTGAGGTTAAACTGGACTGAACATAAAATAATGCTGCCTTATAAAATGTTTTATAATTTTTTTTATTTTTGAGCAGTCAGATTTCCGGTTTTGCCTGTCCTGTATTGTAACTGAATATTTCTAAAACTGTCCAACATTGCTGTCACCACTGCTGAACCATCACGACATGAATACATCAAATTGTAAATCCACTTTTGTGTCAGAAAATATCAAATAAAGTGTCCTTGATGGAAAGCCACACATCAACTCTTTTTTTTTTTACTGTATTTATTGAACCAGTTCTTCAAAAATGGAAGTTGCTGTCTGTCTCATTATTCCACCACATGTTTTTCTTTGCAGTCAGTAAGTTTTATCATTGCCTCAGACCCTCCGGGTGATGAAATCTGTCCAGAGCTGTCCTAGCTCTTTTTTTTTTTTTCTTCTCTAGTCTCAAATATATTCTTTACAGATTTCCAATTCTGAAAAAAATGCACCTTGATATTTTAATACCTATATTACTTATATATATATTTTTTATATCTTTAAATTGTCATTGTTTCTTTATTCTATTCCCTTTTCCCCTCATATTTTAATTATTATTGCACCTAAGCAATGAAGTATGTGAAAAAGAAATCTCTGAATCTTCAGTTTAAGTTGTAGTAAATATAGTTTGAGTGGTAGTGGTTGTACATCTGTGAGCGATGGCTGCTGTTCATTCAATAGAAATGAAGGTGATGTGATTGCATGCTGGAAACTTTTTTTTTTCACAGCACAAATGTTGAAGGAGGCATTACAACGTCTCAGAAAAAATAAAGTGGAAAATGTTTTCTAGCTACATATTGCAAATTGATCATTATTTGATATTATTCTGTACCTTCTAACACTGGCAGGTTACTGGCGAGGGTGGTTGGCAGTTTCTTGCATCGTGCAGCACGTCAGTCATTGCATCACTATGGAAACCAAAATGCCCAGTTGCTGTTAGAGCGGTGCTGAACATCTGAGGCGCAGAGGCACATTCAAAGATGTGCCACATACAGAGTTATGGAGTGGAATAAGAGCAATCGACAGAGTTAATAACAGGTAAGGAGCTATCTTACAGGCATGCATATTAACTTCATATTATTATGAAGTTAATATGCATATTAACTTCAGCTGAATTAAGCTAATTTATGGGGAAAAAATGAAAATGAATGTAATTTGTTAATGTGTGATATTGAAAATACCCCGAGTCAACAATGGACAGTAACATTTTTGGAAAACATATTTTATTTAATAGTAACATATTGTATGTACTACCATAAATATTAATGAATGGATAAATCAGACAGCAGTGTTCAAAAAGGTCTAATCAGCATTTTGACCAAAGGAGAGTGACTCAGTGATGCACAGACTCCTGTGAAACAATAACAGATGGAGTATCAGTCTGACAAAGTGGACATAAATTATGTATTTTGATATTCAGGACCAATATTAAACAAATGCTTTTCTTCCAGCAGGAAAACCGTTAAGTACCGTGGATGATGTTAAATGAACTGTGTGAGAGACAGAAGCTCAAGCTGAGCATAGTTTCGGTCAGGAAAATGCTCAGAAGAAGGCTGACTTGTTCTAAAGGTCTTTTACTGGGAAAGTCAAGGATACAAACTGGAAGAAGGAGCTCTGAGGTGTGAAGACACAATGGCTCAAGCTGCATGTAATATGACTGAAATTTCAGTGCAACACTGTGAAGAGGAAATTGAAGTTGAAACAGTACGTACAGAAGTCACCCAGAGTCACTCTCCCTCCATGAATCCTGAAAATCTCCGCATGGACCAAAATCAGTTCACACAAAAGCTGAATGCTATGAAGCAAGTCTTCTCAACATCATTCAACTGCTTCACATGCACCCTGAAACCTGTTGAGGGAAGCAACCAGGATGAAGATGAATATCGTGCTGTTACAATCTTCAACAGACACGCCAGAGACTCTGTGGACTTAAAACCTGTTGGTGGCATTTCAGCCACAGAAAAACATAAACTGAGCAATGCAGACTGTAAGTCATCTGTGAACGAGAGTGAAGCAATCACAAGCAACAGGTTCACGCTCCTCAATCAATTCGTTATTGTTCCTAAACTCCAGTCAAAAGCAACATCTTCAGGGTTAGACAATTCTCTGCGGCCAAGAGCATTTTGGAGGAAGAAACTGAAAAAGCCTTCTCCTTTCTTCAAGGAGCATATTGGAGAAACTAATATCTCAGAGGAGATTACAGTCCTGGCTAATGAACATACTGATGAGAGCGTGACCAGGAGCACGTACCCAGGAACATGTCCTCAGAGGCTGACAGTGAGTGTCGAGGTGACTGCTACGTCATTAGAGCTCAAGAGCATTAAAGAAGACAGTGACACATTCACATGTAAGTAATGGCATGTCAGTGATAGCGGGACCTACAGGAAATCTGTGTGAGAGTCTGATTGGTGGTGGAGAGATTTAGATGAGCCCACAGTCTTTGGAGGACTCCTGCATTGATCAGAGCAGCAAGGTGATTCTGGTTCATCATGGCCACTCTCAATCTATCAGTAAAGCATAAACAATCCTGATGTCATCTCAAAGAGGAGTGCGTCAGAGCATTCAGAAGTAAGAGACGAGATCAGACCTTCGGCATTCAACAGTGACTCACTCTCTCTTCACAACAATGCAGCTGCAGAAAATGGCATAGGCCCAAAGGGAAATGAAATACCAGCAGGCTTAGACACATCTGATGGTAGTGTTTCTGTCATGACAGCACACTCTGAGGAAAATGCAGAGCAACAGTGTGAGAAAAGAGATTTTCCTGCTAGAAACAGCACACTCTGTGGTTCAAGTTGCATAAAAACTGCACTGAAACAGTTTAAAGACAAACAGCTGGATACCCCTGACCAATTTTTATCGCTACAACTGACACTGAGCTGCTTATTATGGAGGAAAGTTAGTTTGTGGATTAACGATTGTAAAGTAAAGTTGTCTTCGAGGATGGAGTAGGGAGAAGGCCTCTGTAATTAAAAGCAAAACACTGGCTAAGGTTAAATGAATGGACAGGGAGGCCATTCCACAGATGCCTGGTTTCAGCACCGCTTCATTCGCCTGCTTCTCCCACAATGCTCAACATATTGCCCATTTTTGATCAGGATGAGCCAACTCAGTCAGAGGACAAATGGCTCTTTTTAGAAAACTACGCTGAAGTCACAGAGAATACGTCTATTTTATCATACAATCTATGCCGCAGCACGGTTAGCTTACTTGCATTAAAGCCTGTGAATCCGTAGATATATAATAGAACTAGATATCGGATGCCAAGATAATGGCTATTCAACTGCTCACCTGGTTCATACTGCAAAAACGGGGTTTTTGGAGGGTATGCAACCCACTGAATATCACTATAGTATCTCTCTCTTTTTT